TCCATGCATTGATATGGCTTCTCTCCTGTGTGATTCCTATGATGAATTATAAGAGAGTAAGTATGAGAGAAGATCTTTCCACATTCCTTGCATTGATATGGTTTCTCTCCTGTGTGGATCCTCTTATGGGAATTGAGACTACTACTGCAAGTAAAGGTCTTTCCACACTCCATGCATTTATAAGGTCTTTCTCCTTTGTGATTCCTTTGATGGATTAAAAAAGAGTTATAATAAGAGGTCTTCCCACATTCCATGTACTGATATAACTTATCCTGTGTATGGATAGTTTTATGCTGAATCAGAACGTTTTTCCTGCTAAAGCACTTTCCACACTCCTTGCATTGATATCGCTTCCTTTTCCCCTCTTTTGAATGGGTCGTTTGGAATTCCTCCATGCAATTCTTATTCTCCTGTCCATTATAGCCTTAAAAAAGAAAAAAGAAAATTGTAGCAAAAGATAGAACTATCAAAACTTTTATTCTGAAATTTAGCCAAAAAATCATCAATATATTTTGGCTGATTTGTTGGCAAACATGATGATTCCAAACTAACACTTTAGCAAGGAACCATTTCCAAATGTATCCCTACTGTTATTCATATAACCTGATTGGATCACATCACAATGAATCTAAGACACAACCTAATCTTTGGCCTGGGACTATTCCATGGGGCCACAAACTCCTGAAGTCCATTGGACACAGGGTCATGCTGGGTCAACAACATTCCTACCAGCTGCCCAACTACATTGGAAGTCTCATCCCCACTTGTCTGCAGAGCAGAATCTTTGAAAGCCAAGGGGAATTTCTGGATGGCAATAGCTCCCCACCCTCAATTAGGCTGATGTTAAACTTGGTACACAAGTGGGCACATCTCAGAGAAGGGACATCCCACTCAGGAATCCTACAGTCTTGGTTATAGCAGCTCAGACCCATTGGTGGCCTAGAGGTTAAAGGATCAGGCTAGAAACAAGGTCAGTGAGTACTAGTTCAGCCTTAGGGTTTAATGCTGGCTGTGTGATTTTGGGTCAGTCTCCCTCAGCTCAACCCATCTCACAGAGTTGCTGTTGTAGGGAAAACAGCAGAAGGGAGCAATATTGACTTTGTCCACTGCCTTTATTATTTACCAAAAAAAGGCAGGATATACGTAAATGATTTTATAAAATCACTTATTTCATTTAATCTATTGTTTAATAACATCTAATCCCTCCACCCCATGAATTCTGTATGTTTCTGAGCAGAGATAGGGATTCTTACCCAGAGAAAACAGATTCCTGGAATTCTCCAGCATGACTTCTCCATGGAGCGCTTTTTGGTTAGCATCCAGTTGAGACCACTCCTCCTTGGAGAAATACACAGCCACGTCCTCAAAAGACACACCACCCTGAACAAGGAAACAAGTTTTCCTGTTAACAGATAATCCCAAAAATAATTTGACAGTTCTCTTCTATCAATTCAAGGAGAGAGATCCAGTGAACAAAATGAGCATCTCGTGGAGACTTCAGGTTTGTCGGCTTCGCGAGCGGCAGGGATTTGCGAAGCTGCGCGATCCCTGCCGCGCTAGCCGTTTTTGGGGCTCCGATCCGGACGGGTACGGAGCTAGGCTGCCCTGCAGGGGCAGCTGAAGGTTAGGGGGATCCGGAGAGGGGTTTGGGGGTGTTGCAGACCCCCTCCCCGGCCGGCAGAACCCCCTTTTCCCAGGACGGTGCAGCGGCGGTCCGTAATGGCCGCCACAAAGAAGCTGGCAGCCGGGTAAGAATGCGCAGGAGGAAGTGGAGAAAGTGCTTGAAAGGAGAAAGTTTTTCTTGGTTCCTAGGACTCTAAGACATATTTAACAAAATTCCTGAAAAGTATGATTTTCTGAATGATACCTTCGAGAAGAGGAAAAAAAGCGGCAGTTTGATGGTGCTGAAAGGATAGCTTACCCTCTTTTTCTACGGAATAAAAAGTGAATATTAAGAAACCTATTTTTTTTTAGGTGAAAACTGGCTCTAAGCGATGAGTGGGAAAAGAGAGGACTAAAAAAAAAAAAATTTGTATGCTAAGACTTTGTTGGAGGAAATGCCTTAAGGATTGAAAGACTAAAATATATTGCAATAAGATTTTAAGAAATAGATTTGGACTTTCTTTTTTTCTGATTGATACTACCCTAGGAGGAGAGAGTGGGAACTCTGTCTTGGTTTGGACTGATTGATAACTTTGGGATTGTTTTATTTTTCCTTTGGAATATTTTGGTTGTTGTAAGAGAAAAGAAAAGAAAAGATTTATAATGGCCCCTTCTATTGAGGAACTGAGAAGGGACTATGAGCAAGCAAAAAAAAAATGGTAAAGCTGGTTTGAAAGAAGCCTGCCTTTTTTTGGAAATGGCGCTCATTAACTATCAACAAACATTGCAACAGATGAAGACAGCAGAAGAAGAAGAAGGAGAGGAAGCCATCTTTAATAAATCTCAGAACTCGACCAAGAGGGAAGGAAGAGGGAAAGGAAGAGAAATAAAGGACTTAAGATTTAAAAAAATATTTAAGAAAGGGAAAAATAAGGTGCAAAATCAATATAATGATGGTAAACAAAAGGGAAGAGGAATACGACAGAGAAGGGAAGCCAGTAAGGCAGAGGCTAGGATAAGGGGGGGTAGAAAGGTTTGTTGGGAGAAGAAAGAAAGGGAAAAGGTGGAGAAAAGCTACAAAGTTTTGAAATTAAATGGGAAAAAAGGAATCTTTTTTAGGGATAAAGGATAAGTATTATTTCTGCAAAGAGATTTTGCAAGGTACATAAGATGATATTGTAGTATTGTATTAGAAATAGAAAACTTAAATGGCTTAAGAGTTGATAAGAGATTAAAATGTTGAAATGTTAATAATGATTGGTTTTATAATTTAATAATATGAGGGGAGATTTAGAATATTGAGCTTTAATTAAAGAGTTTAATAAGATTATGGTATTGATGTTATTATAAAATTTTTATTATAGTATTTGTTTTTAATATTTAGATTTATTGTTTAACTATGTATTTAATTATTCTGGATGTATTATTCAGTTAGAATGTACCAAGCAAAATCGGATTGGGTATTGGGTGTTATTTTAAAGATTAACTTGATTAATTTAGTGGGGAGATAGAAAGGCATCATACTCTGATTAGTGATTTCAGGAGAAATTTCTTTTTTTTTATAAGGAATGAGACAAAGGTACAATAAAGAATGGATAAAAGATACAAATATAATGACTCAAATTAAGATGATTAATTAAGATAGAATTAAAAAGAGTGAATTATGGGGAAAAGTTAATATAGAAGACTTAGAATGGTAAATAAAATAAGTAATGATATGTAAAATGAGCATGAATACAATTGAAGTCCATGAAGAAAGAGATACCTGGGTCCAAGTTACTTTCCAAAAAGATCTTTTTTTATGTTTTGTGTGTTGTGTATATATGTTTTTTTGGGGGGGGAGAATTAATGAAACCTTGCAGAAATATAGAATGAGAATAATGGTAACTAAGTCAGAAAGAAATAGATGAAATAATAATAATAAAATGGAATAAGAGTAAAGAGAAATAAAGAGAAAATGGATAAGAGGTTTTTGTATGTTTATATGGAAATGGTTTAAAACAGAATTATAGTTCATCTGACTTGTTAAATTTATAATGGAAAAAGGTTCAAATATGTAATGGATAATGATGATTTGTGTGTTTTGAAAATTAATAAAACTTGTTTAAAAAAAAATGAGCATCTCGTGAAGAATTCAGAATGAGATCTCACCACTTTTAACTGACAGCACAAATGAAGTACATTGGATCATGTTGGAAGTATTGGGAATGCCTTTCAGTGTAGCCAACTAAAATAGTTTTCTTGGTCACTTGGTAGTTGGGTCTTAAATTCATTAGTTATCAGTGGCTCCAATTCTTTCCTAGGATGTGCAATGTCAAATACTGGCAATACCCACTTGACATTTTTGCCAATGGCTTACTTTATCCACTGAGGGCAAATGTGACCCAACTGCACACCTTCTTGAAAATGTTAGAAGAGGTTGTAACAGGATATGTCTATAGAGATTCCCAATCACCAGGTCATGGTTGTCTCAAAGATGCTTTTCAAAAGGAAAAAAAAGAGGATATTTTTGTAATGGTACGTGAGAATAACCTGGGAAAGTGTCACACAAAGGATCCCATCAGAAGGGAGAGATAGGCTAAGCTGAATATGAATTTTGAATCTAATATCAGATTCGTATTCTTAGAAACAGCATTACAGCAAAATGAAACCCATCTAAGATTCATGGACCTTTTCCAATGTTTCTCCTTCTTACCTGAAGTAGCGGTTCAGCCAATCTCTCAGCTTCACCACAAAGGGGAACTGATTCAAAAAATTCCAGGGACAGCTTTCTACTCTCTATGAGAAAGAGAAAAATGGTGGAAGCATATTTCTTAAGAGAAATTCCAGTCAAGAGGAGCAGAAGAATAGGCTAAATGTTGAAATCTCACATCACACAGAAAGAACTTTTCTTACCTGGAGTGGCATTCTGACTTTGATCTTTGCATAAGGTCTCCCTGAACAGCAGCTCTTGAGAAGATTTGAACGAATCCTTCCTCCCCTTGGGATACTCTGTCATATCTTCCAAGGATTTCTGGACAGGATGTGAGATGAGAAACAAAGAAAGATAGGAAGGAATTATCATACTGCAGCTTTAAACTAGCAGACCTCAATGTCCATTTGTGAAACTTGAAAGAAAATGGAAGAATTGCCTCAAACACATCCTCTGGAAGAAAAATGGAACAACTGGCCTTAAATGTTAATACTCCCAGAGAACTCTACCAAAAGAGAATTGACAAGTTCAGAGAGATTCTCTTTAGAGCTGAAATGATAACATTCTCACACCTGCATCTTTTCAGACTCCTGGGTCAGGAGGAAGCCTTCAGCCAGGGCCACCGCCTGGGAACTGGTCTCCACTCCACACTCCCTCACCCATTTCTCCATCTCTGGGGGAAGGACAGCCAGGAACTGCTCCAGGAGCACCAAGTCCAGCATCTGAGCCCTCGTGTGTGTTTCCGGCTGCAGCCATTGACGGCAAAGGCGGTGAAGCTGAGTGCAAATATCTCGGGGACTCTTCCCCTCCTGGAACTGTACTTTGCTGAAGTGATAGCATTGAACCTCTGAACTCTTGGGTTCTTCTTCTTGGCTCTTCTGCCCAGAACTTGCCCCATTTCCCCCACAGCTCCAAGGCTGAGTAGCTGGAGGACCTTTTCCAACTCCTGCATCTGGTGGGTATTGTCCTTCCATCTTCTCTCTAATCCAACTCCAAAATGGATGAACGGATCTCCCAAGTTTTACTAATCAAAAGACGTTTGCTAAATCTCCTAAAGGCCATTTAGCCCGCTTTCCTCACCAGATACCTCCGACTCCAAGGGAACTAGGAAAGATTTCCAACTTATATATCTGAAATGGAAAACAAAAAAAACTTCCAGAACAACTGAGCATCAACAAAAACCCAAATAAGAAATTCTTATGACTTGAACAATATCTAGGAAGAGGGAGAAAATTTTATTAGTTGGTGGACTAATATATCTGCATGTGGAAAAATATATGTAGTAACTTTCTGTATCAACTTTGATCAAGGACTAAAAACTGGATGCATAAATTTAAAACATGTTTTTGTTTTCGAATTCCTACTTATTTATTCAAATAATTTTGATGGCTGCTGGCAACATTAAAAACAATCTCTGTACAATTCAGATCATAAATGTCTCAGGTCACAAACAGTCATTGAGATGAGTGGTAACTGAAATCGATTTTATAGATAAATCAATCAATATTTGAAATTCCAGTATAATGTTAGATAGCTGAACCCATTAACCTCCTGGCCCAAACCGCTATGGGTAGCTGAGAAATCGCAATCAACAAACCGCGATTCAATGCAAAGAGAATAATAACCGAATCAACAAACCAGTTACGACCTAACATGATGTTTTGATGCAGGCAACTCCTGGAAAGAGGTTTCTCAACTTTTCGCCTAATCCTGAATGGCTCCGACCTTTTTGGCGGTCCCGATTTTCCTCCTGGAGGCAGCGCAGCGGGACCGTAACTTTTGATTTCCTCCCTGCCTTCCCCGTGCATACACAGGGGCGGCAGGGGAACATGGGACAAGGGGCTCTCCACTTTCCAGGACTCCGAACTTGATGAAGTTTTGCGTCTCTCCACGCACGGTCCAGCCCTTGGAAGAAAAAGTTACGGCTACTTTCCAAAGCTCCCCCACTCCGCAGGGTTTCTCCCAATGAAATGGACGGTAAATGCATCCCTCGCCTCTGCTGTCCTCATTGCCACCCCGCCATCCCCCCAAGAAGAAGCGCGATGGCCCGGAGCTTTGCTTCCTCCCCTGCCTGGCCCGTGCATGCACAGGGGCGGCAGGGGAACATGGACCACGGGATCTCCCTTTCCCATAACTCCGAACCTGATGAAGTTTTGCAGGTCGCCATGCTCGCCTCCAGTAGCAACGTCTAGATCTCCATCCGTGTAAGATTTCCCTGCAAACTCTTGGGACTTCTGTAGGAAACTCTGAGCATGCGCTCCCAACCTTTCCTGGGAAAAAGGAGGAAAAAAAGACGACTTGTGACGGGGAAAGAACAATGCGCATGCTCAGTTTCCTTCGAAAGGGGGAGAGTGGGGAGGCGCTGCGCAGCTCTTCCAATAGCTACCGAGGGAGCCCCCTGGAGGATCCTGCGAGCGATGCCAGAGGACATGGAAGGCATGCATCATCATGTTCTGGATGATGGATGGGCATTGGAAAGTGTCTTTCTCTAACATTGCCTGGCTAGAAAGGCCGTGCCGTCTCCAGCAGGCGGCAGTTTCGAGATTTTCCTCTTTTTAATGCCTGAGAACCGTCTGCGGAAATTTCTGTGGGGACTCAAAAGCAGCTTTCCTCAAGAGCAGCTTCTCTGCTGAAGCGTCTGTAGGAGCCCTCAAAAACGAGCAACAATCCTGTCAGAAATGGCAGGGCAGTCAAAAGACAAGAAACAAAGCCTCTCTTTGAAAGACAAGCTTCTGTGTTGTGGTTGTTGGCAAACTCATCCCCATCTTCAGAAAGGGAAACTGTAAAGAGCTGGCCTGCGTCGCTGTACTCCAGTCCACACCATTCTGGCATGCATGCATGCACACAGGAGGCAGTGGGCACACAACCACACACAGGCCCACTTCTCTGCCACTGCGTGGAGGGCAAAAAAAATAGTCTATGGGACTATGGTAAAAAGAATAGTTCAGATCTGAAAAAACAGGTAAATAGAACTAAGAAGCGATTGAAAAAGAATAGAATTAACTCCTCTCTCTTGCCCAAAGCCTGGTTCTTTTGAGCCCATTTTTCTTAGTCTTCTATAATGGAAAATCGTGACACAGTGGCTACAAAACCAAAATTGGTGCCTTTTCACCACTTTGATCCAGAACTATAATTGAGCAGTATTTGAATAAATAGCTTCAAAGCAGGGGTGGGATTCTACCAGTTCGCACCTATTCGCTAGAATGGCTAACATTGTAAGCAGTTGGGAGAACCGGTTGTTAGAAGAAATTAGTGGCCTTATCCTGTAAGGAAGGCAGGAAGGAAACATTTTGGTGTTGCTTACAGAAACTGCCTCCATTAACCCTTATTACATTCTTGGCAGGCCTAGACTTCCTGTCTCTGGAGCTTCTCTGGAGTTTTTTCTCCTACTTTGCTGGTACTTTGCTTGTGTGGAGTGACCATTTAAAGTTACAATGGCACTGAAAAAAGTGACATGACCATTATTCACACTTATGACTGTTGCAGCATCCCCACAGTCATGAGAGGCCAGGCGAGGAGATGCGTGCCTCGATGCAAGTGATGTTGAGTTGGCCATGCCCACCAACTCAGCCATGCCCACTGAACCGATTGTTAAAAAATTTGAATCCCACCCCTGCTTCAATGTAGCCTGAGTCTCTGAAAACCTGAAGTATTCCTCCCTCACCTCCAAATCCTTCCAAAAGTTTTCCTGTGGGTTTATTTTTTAATTCATTAAAAAGGAATTAAAAATGTCTCATGGACAAACATACCAATATTTACTTTTATTTTTTAACAAACTTTATTCAGTTTTTCACATTAAAAACAAAAATCTCTTTTTAGTGGACAACATTTTCTCTTTTCCGGGTCATCACCTTTACATACAAATATGACAGCAATTATACATTGATATATGCATACTTAATTCTATCATTACCTTTTCCATTCCAAATTTTCAGTAAAGAGATAAACAAACGCATTAATTCTAGCCTCTTTCATTAATCTCAATCAAAACATCTTTTTGTTTCATTTCAATTATTTCAAATATAATCCTTTAAAATTTATTTTAAAAATAAAGATAAACAATATGTGTTTGCCTAACAATAACAATAATAACAACAATAACAACAATAATAATAATAGGTTGCCAATGTCTCTCCTTGCTTTTAATAGTGTATATTAACTTATTAATTTAGTTGGTTCTTTAGTCTGTCATGTTCCCTTTCCATTACACATTCTTTTTATAAATTCTAGATTAATACAAATGTTAACACTAAAAAAAAAGTATAGGTTTCCCCCCTTTTACTGTTTTGAATGTGACACCTCAATGATTAAAATATACCTTTATTCTCTCATCTTAATTCCCAATAAACCATTATTTTAAAGAAGTTACAATAATAATCATTCCATCTTTTCACTTGAATTCCACAGCATATTTCCCCCCCTTGATTTTTAATAAGTTATCAATATCTATATTACCCTATTTTCTAAATATTTTTAATTGCAGAAATATTCTTATTAATCCTTGTCACCCTGCAGAATCCCCCTTTTAATTCATCAACCATTATCTCTGAAAAAACAATTTCTTTTCAACATTTTACTATTTCCGTATTTCTTTATTTCATGCACCTGTTTCTTACTGCTTCTCCTTCCCCTCTTTTCCCCATATCTTTTCTCATTCCAGTTTATATCTCTCTCTTTCTTAATATCTTCCTTTCCCCTTTTCTGCTGGGTCTTTCTGTCTTTCCCAACTTCACAGGTATTCCCCCTTTTGATTGCCTTCTTAAATCTCAACTTTTTAACCTCCCTTCTTTACCCACTTCTTTGTAGTGTTCTTTATGTTAATTGTCTATTTAAAATGCCTTCTCCTTGAATCAACTCCTCCTCCTCTGAAGCTCTTTCTTCTTCTTCTTCAATCGTCATTTCCATTTTTTCTAACACAGAGCAAAGTGATTCGCCTCTTTCCTGTAGTAATTCTCTCATATTTTTAAGTTCCATTTTTAATTCCCGAAGAGATATCATCATTACACACTCTTATATTTTTTTGATCGTTAAAGATGACTGATACAACCAAAGCTCTTTCCACACTCCATGATGTTTTATAAGAGAGACATAATAACAGAAAGTTTTTCTGCTTTTCAAAAGGAAAAAAAAACGATATTTTTGTAATGGTATGTGAGAATAACCCTGGGAAGTGAGGGAAGAGGGTGGGCAGTCACAGAATGGGAAGTGTAAGCCTAGGCTAGTGTCAAAGCAGGGGTTCTGTCCGGCTCTGTAGAACCGGTAGCTCTGAACAGCAGCAGACATAGAACCAGTTCTGTCTGCTGCTGGTTTGGCCCGCCCGCCTGCCCGGGCTCTTACCTTTATTTCCTGGTTTGCGAGGTACAGCTGCAGTTGAAAAAGCAGGAAAAAAGTGCTTTTTCAAATGCTGCTTCCCTGCACGCAGCACTGCTCAGCTGTCAAGGCAGCAAGCTGACGAAGATTTCCATGCGCGTGCAGCGAAGCAAATTGTAAATCACCGAACCAGTAGTTAACCTGTCAGATCCCACCTGTGTCAAACACGGGCCCATGATGAGGTCAAATCTGGCCCGTGCTGTTGTCCCCAATTCAGGCCTGAGCCTGGTGCCGAAGAAGCCAATGATAGATACCAGACACGAGGTGCACGTTTTCTGATTGCTTTTTATTGGAGTTCTCAAAGGAAAAGGGCTCCTGGTCAAAATGCCAAGAGCCAAGAACAAACGATTGAGCAATTTTTATACATTTTCACTAAAGGAGAATGTGGGACAAAGCGCAATAAGACATATCATCTAATAAACCTTTTAATAATTCTACGATTTGTTCTATTGGTCTCTAGCTATCCCTATTCCCAAGTCTTAGCTAATGAATGCCATAGGAGTTATCTAATACACATTTGATTTGCTGCAGACCATCCCTGTTAGCTGAGATCTGCAAGTTGGCTAACTCATGTTACTTTTATCAGCTTTCCAATTAGCCAGGATGGTTACAAGATTTACACATGCATATCTTCTGTGGATAAGCATTCTTTGTTGTTGCCAGACAGACTCCACAATTACTTTGAAGTGTGCGCCATGACCTGGCTTTATTTTAGCAGATGGCCCGTCAGTGCAGCCATCCTGGAAACTGTAAGGAGCCGGCCTACGTCGCTTTACCCCAGTCCACGCCATCCTGGCATGCATGCATGCACACAGGAGGCAGTGGGCACACAAGCACACAGGCCCATTTCTCTGCCACTGCGTGCAGGGCAAAAAAAGTAGTCTATGGGACTATGGTAAAAAAATATAGTTCAGATCTCCTGAAAAAACAGAGAAATAGAACTAAGAAGCAACTTAAAAAGAATAAACTCCTCTCTTGCCCAAAGCCTGGTTCTTTTGAGCCCATTTTTCTCAGTCTTCTATAATGGAAAAACGTGGCCCAGTGGCTACAAAACCAAAATCGGTGCCTTTTCACCAGTTTGATCCAGAAACATAATTGAGCAGTATTTGAATAGCTTCAAAGCTGCCTGAGTCTCTAAAAACCTGAAGTATTCCTCCCCCCCCCCAAATCCTTCCAAAAGTTTTCCTGTGGGTTTACTTTTTAATTCATTAAAAAGAAATAAAAAATGTCTCATGGACAACCATACCAATGAAATTTAATTTTATTTATATCCAAAATTAATTTTATTCCATTCTAATTAAAATCCAATTAATTTCAATTAAACCCAATTTATTTAAATTGAATTTAGAGATTTCCTTATTATCATGTCATAGAGAGGCAAAATAGCAATAGGTATAGACTGCTTCATAGTGCTTTACAACACTCCATAAACAGTTTACAGAATCTGCATATTACCTCCAACAATCTGGGTTCTTATTTTACCAGTCTCAGAAGAGTGGAAGGTTCAATCAACCTTGAGCTGGTCACAATCGAACTCCTGGCAGTCAGCAGAAACAGCTTGCAATACTGCATTGTAACCATTGCAACACCTTGGTTCTAACGCTTCAAAAAGTGTCTTTGAACACAGATTTCACATATGAATACCAATTCATCTTTATTCTTTGTTCCTGTAGTTCTTGCTTAGATATGAGTTCACCCTCTTCATTTAATACTTCATTGTATCTTATTGCTTGTTACATTTTATAAACAATTGGATATGCAAATGCCTCTATAGTTGACAACCAGACTGGTATTTTCATGTAATGTTGTTTCCTAATTTTCTCTCATGTTAATAAAGCATCGCGAATATAGTGTCTCCTCAAATACCCATGTGTTTTACTTTCCTTATACCATAAAAAGGCGTGCTATCCCAATAATAAATCATGACCTTCTAATATTAACAATCTAGTATTTCACTTCTCATTCTGATTTCTTTTGTGAGAGGAATTCATCATTCTGAAATTCTTTTCACATGATACATTGATATATATGTGATCTTGTTCTACGGCTTTTGGTTGAATTATGTTGAATTCCCAGACAGATAAACTTCAACTTAGAACAGTTCGTCTACTAAAGTTTGAAATTAGAACGGTACTGAAAAAAGTGTCTTACGACCATTTTCCACACTTCTGACTGTTGAAACATGGTCACATGATTTACATGCAGAAATTTGACAAATCACTCACATTTATTATGGTTAGTGTTCTGTGGTCACGTGATCACCTTTTGTAACCTGACCAGCAAAATTAATGGAAAAGCCAAATTCCCTTAACTAAGAGTGTTACCAACTTAACTACTACAATGATTGACTTAACAAATGTGGCAAGAAAAGTAGAAAAATGGATCACAACTCACTTAACTGTTTTGCTTAGTAATAGGAATTTTGGGCTCAACTGCAATCATAAACCTATTTTCTATTGAACCTCTTTCCATACTTCCTTTATTGATATGGTTTCTCCTGTGTGTGGATCCTTTTATAGCAAGTAAAGAGCTTTACTTCTTGCAAAGCTCTTTCCACACTCCATGCATTCATATGGTTTTTCCCCCTGTATGGATTCTTTCATGGGAAGTGAGATCACAACTCCTTTTAAAGCCCTCTCCACACTGCACACATTTATATGGCTTCTCTCCTGCATGGATCCTTTTATGGGAATTCAGATTTCTGCTACAATGAAAAGCCTTTCCACATTCCACACATCTGTATGGCTTATCTCCTGTGTGGATCCTCTTGTGTGAATTAAGATGAGTGCTCTGATTAAAGCTCTTTCCACACTCCTTACATTGATATGGTTTCTCTCCTGTGTGGATCCTTTTGTGGGAGGTAAGAGCAGATTTCCACTTAAAGCCCTTTCCACATTCCACACATTGATATGGTTTCTCTTCTGTGTGGGTCTTCTTGTGGGAATCAAGATTAGAGCTACAAGTTAAGGTTTTTCCACACTCTAGGCTTTTATAAGGTCTTTCTCCTTTGTGATTCCTTTGATGTCTTATAAGAGAGTCATAAGAACAGAAGGTTTTTCTGCACTCCATGCATTGATATGGTTTGTCTCCGTGCTGGGTATTCTTGTGGGAGGTAAGCGCAGAATTCCACTTAAAGCCCTTTCCACATTCCACACATTGATATGGCTTCTCTTCTGTGTGAATCCTCTTGTGGGAATTAAGATGACTAATACAACTAAAGCTCTTTCCACACTCCATGCATTTATATGGCCCTTCTCCTTTGTGATTCCTTTGATGTTTTATAAGAGAGACATAATAACAGAAAGTTTTTCTGCACTCCATGCATTGATATGGCTTTTCCTCTGTATGGATGCTTTTATGGTGAATCAGAGTATATTTACTACTAAAGCTCTTTCCACACTCCATGCACTGATACAGTTTCTCTCCTTTGTGACTCCTTTGATGTCTTGTAAGAGAGTAATTATTAGAGAAGGTCTTTCCACACTCCAAGCATTGATACGGCTTCTCACCTGTGTGGACCCTCTTGTGGGTATTAAGATTACTCTTACAAGTAAACTTCATTCCACACTCCATGCATTTATAAGATTTCTCTCCTGTGTGGATCCTCTTGTGGGTATTAAGATTACTCTTACAAGTAAACTTCTTTCCACACTCCATGCATTTATGAAGTTGTTCTCCTTTGTGATTCCTTTCGTGAGTTCTAAGAGAGTCATTATTACAGAAGGTCTTTCCACACTCCCTGCAGGTATATCGTTTCTCTTCTGAATGTGTCTTTTTATGAGAAATACAATGATCGGATTTATTAAAGTTCTTTCCAGAATCCATGTATTGATATGGTCTTGCTCCCACATCGATGTTTGTATGGTTAGGAAGCCAAATGACCCGAGGAAAGCCTTTTTTAATTTCACTTTGTGATTGCTTTGTTTCATCACTGTTTGATTGCGTTTGATCTGCAAATTTCCCTTTTTCCTTTTTCCGATGGATGGCTTGGCATTCTTCATTGCAATTTTTAATCTCTTGCCCATTAAAGCCTTCAAAAAGAAAAAAGGAAATGAAATGTAGCTAGAAAAGGGAACAATCAATCTTTTTCTTCTGAAATTCAGCCAAAGAATCATTTATATATTTTGGATCACATCACAATGAATCTAAGACACAACCCTGATCTAAGCTTTGACCTGGGACTATCCATGGTGCCAGGAACTCCTGAAGTCCATTGGACACAGTATCATGCTGGGTCAACAAGATACCTACCAGCTCCCCAACTTCATTGGAAGTCTCATTCCCACTTGTCTGCAAGGCAGAACTGTTGAAAGCCAAGGAGAATTTCTGGATGGCAATAGCACCCCACCCTCAATTAGGCTGATGCCAAACTTGGTACACAAATGGGCACACTTGAGAGAAGAGACATACCACTCAGGAGCCATCCAGTCTTGATTATATCAGCTCAGGCCCATCGGGAAGCCAGCGACAACATTTAGGTATGAACACCGAACCCTGGTAGGCAGAACCTTGCTCAAGAGATTACATCATCCCTATGTGACCCTCAAATACTCGCTAAAATCTTCTATGGCATGAAATATTGTATTTTATGAGCAAAAACATTAAAAATAAACCCCAATTCCTTTATGTGAAAAGGAATGCTATGCAGTTTTCAAAATTTCCTTCAATATATTGCCTTCTTCTACAAATTCAGTTTGGTGAAACGGTTAACACACCAGGCTAGAAACTGGTTGACTGTGAGTACTAGTTCTTTCTTAGGCATGAAGGCTGACTGGGTGACTTTGGGCCAGTCTCTCTCAGCTCAACCCATGTCACAGGGTTGTTGTTGTAGGGAAAACAGCATCAGGAAGGAATACTGGGTTTGCCTTCTGCCTTTATTATGATTAAAAAATAGAGGCAGGATATAAATAAATAAGTGATGTTTTAATCAGTAATAACATCTAAGCACACAGCCCCATAATTTCTCTCTGTTTCTGAGCAGGGACAGGGGTTCTTACCGAGAGAAAACAGATTCCTGGAATTCTCCAGCATGACTTCTCCATGGAGAGCTTTTTGGTCAGCATCCAGTTGAGACCACTCCTCCTTGGAGAAATACACAGCCACGTCCTCAAAAGACACAACACCCTGAAAAAGGACACAAGTTTTCCTTTTAACAGATAATCCCAAGAATAATTTGCCAGTTTTCTTCCACTAATCGAGAGAGATCTAGTGAACAAAATAGGCATGTTCTGCTGAATTCAGAATAAGATCACTTGTAACAGGTTATGTCTATGGAGATTCCCAATCACCAGGTCATGGCTGTCCCAAAGATTATTTTGAAAAGGCAGAAAAGAGTATTTTTTTGTAATGGTGTGTGAGAATAACCCTGGGAGACAGAAGGAAGAGCCCAGATGCTGACAACAATCTGGTCAATGAAATCTGATGGCAAAGCAGGACAAAGGATCCTCTCAGATGGGAGAGAGAAGCTAGGCTGCATATCGGTTTTGAATGACTGGACGTCAGATTTATATTGCTTAGAAACAGCAATTTATTACAATAAATTCTAGAACAAAATGAAATCCATCCAAGATTCATGGACATTTTCCAATCTTTTTCCTCCTTACCTGAAGTTGAGGTTCAGCCAACCCTTCAACCCCACCACAAAGAGGAGGTGATTCTAAAAATTCCAAGGACAGCTTTCTACTCCCTGTAAGAGAGAGAAAAATGGTGGAAGCAGATTTGTTTTAAAGAGAGAGATTCCAGTCAAGAGGGGGAAAAGAATCAGCTAAATGTTGAAGTCACATTACACAAAAAGAGCTTTTCTTACTTGGCATGGTATTGTGACTTTGATCTTTGTGTAAAGTCTCCCTGAAGAGCAGCCCTTGAAAAGAACTGAATGAATCTTTCCTCCCCATGGGATATTCAGTCACAGCTTCAAAGGGTTTCTGGACATGATGTAATATGAGAAGCAAAGAAAGAGGAATTATCATACTGCACCTTTAAACCAGCAGACCCCAATGTCCTTTTGCAAAACTCAAAAGAGAATGGAAGAATTGCCTCAAACACATCCCCTAGAAGAATAATGGAACAACTGTCCATAGGAGTTAATAATCCCAGAAAACTCTACCAAAAAGGAATTGACAAATTCACAGAACTCCTCTTTAGAGCTGAAATGATTATATTCTCACACCTGCAACTCTTCTTGCAATTTCTCCTCCTGCTGAGTCAGCAAGAAGCCTTCAGCCAGGGCCACTGCCTGGGAACTGGTCTCTGCTCCACACTCCCGCACCCATTTCTCCATCTCTGGGGGAAGGACAGCCAGGAACTGCTCCAGGAGCACCAAGTCCAGCATCTGAGCCTTCGTGTGTCTTTCTGGATGCAGCCATTGATGGCAAAGTTGGTGAAGCTGAGTGCAAACATCTCGGGGACTCTTCCCCTCCTGTAACTGCACTTTTTTGAAGTGACAGTATTGGATCTCTGAAGTGTTGGCTTCCTCTTCTTGGCTCTTCTGCCCAGGACTTGCCCCATTCTTCCCATAGCTCCAAGGTTGAGTAGTTAGAGGACCTTTTCCAATATCTGCATCTGCTGGTCCCTCCATCTTCTCTCTGGTCTCTAATCCAGTTCCAAAATGGACGGATGGATTTCACAAGAGGTCTAGCCAAATCTCCTAGACTCATTCAGCCCCCTTCCCATACAAGATACTCTGGACTCCCGAGGAACCAGGAAAGATTTCCACCTTAGATATCTGAAATGGAAAACACAGCGAGTTCAATATGGTGACAAATCTGAATACTGAGCAACCACTTCCTCCTCCTACAAAAAAAGAAAGAAAGAAATCCATCAGTATCTGCAAGGAGGGGTATCTTATTAGGAAGACTGACTACTGCAGTAAATTTAGGATTGCCCTTCTAGATAAGCTTTGAACAAGGACTGAAAATATTGGATAAATACATTTAGAAAAGTTTTCGACTTCTAGTGTCTGATTATTTAGTCTAATAATTTCGATGGCTGCTTGCAAAGTAAAAAAACAATCTTTGCACAATTGGAATCACAAATCATAAACAGTGATTGAGATGAGAACCTCATCAACCTCCTTGCCCAAAACTCCTGGGGAAACTCCAGAGGGCAAAATTAAGAAAACATCGTCCTAGGCATACAGAACTAATATCTCAATGAATAAACCACCTATGCTTTAACTGTTTAACATGATGTGGAGGACCGTGTGATGTGCTGGAAGAACCAATTGGTGATGAAAGGCTGGAAACCGAATTCCAGTCCTTGCACACTTATGTCCAATTTCTTGTACATGGAGTTGCAGCCTTGCATGCAAAACCAGCAGGAGCGACTTCGGCAGGTTGCTTCTCTCAGCCTAGGAAAGAGGAGGAGAGGGAATCCCCTTCTGAAAACGGGGCCATGAAATATGCAGGAAACTGTCCAGGAGTCAAGGCTGCTTGGAAAGTAGAAATCTCTGCTTTCCAAAGCTCCCCCGCCCCGCAGGGTTTCTCCCAATGAAATGGAGGGTAAATGCATCCCTCGTTTCTGCGGTCCTCATTCCCCCCCTCCCACCCCCGCAAGAAGCAGCGCGATGGTCCGGAGCTTTGCTTTCTCCCCGGCCTGGCCCGTGCATGCACAGGGGCTGCAGGGGAACATGGGAACACGGGATCTCCCTTTCCCATAGCTCCGAACCTGATGAACTTTTGCAGGTCACCATGCTCGTCTCCAATAGCAACCTCTGGATCTCCATCCGTGTAAGATTTCCCTGCAAACTCTTGGGACTTCTGGAGAAAACTCAGCCCGAGACTCACAGAGAAGAGGAGCCGGACTGGACACGGTAGAAAAGCCAGATGCGCTCCCAGCCTTTTCTGGGAAAAAGGAGGTAAAAAAAGAAGGGCCCGTAGAACACTTGCGACGGGGAAAGAACAATGCGCATGCTCAGTTTTCCTTCGAAAAGGGTAGAAGGGGGAGGCGGTGCACAGCTCTTCCAACGGCTACCGAGGGAGCCCCCTGGAGGTCTTGCGGGTGATGTCAGAGGACACGGAGGGCACCATCATGTTCCATGCGGGACTCGGATGATGGGCATTGGAGTAGAAGGAAAGTGTCCTTCTAACATTGCCTGGCTAGAAAGGCCGTGTCGTCTCCAGCAGGCGGCAGTTTCGAGATTTTCCTCTTTTTAATGCCTGAGAATCGTCTGCGGTCTTGCGAACATCGAGGAAATCTCTTGTGGAGACTCAAAAGCCGCTTTCCTCGAGAGCAGCTTCTCTGCTGAAGCGTCTGTAGGAGGCCTCAAAAACGAGCAACAATCCTGTCAGAAATGGCAGGGCAGTCTAAAGAAACAAAGCCTCTCTTTGAAAGACAAGCTTCTGTGTTGTGGTTGTTGGCAAACTCAACTCTGAAGCGATGGAAGATATTATGGGGCCTGGTAGAGACACAGGGAGGAAAGAGATATGTTAGGAAAATAAAGATTTGTATTGACTTTCTTTAGTGAGTTCAATTATTACAGCTGCCTTTTCAAAGTCACGCCTATGAGCTGCGACGGAGAGTTGGAAGCACCAATAGGTAGCCCAAAATAATAAAAATAATCCTCGGGAAACAGAAAAAAAAACCAGACCCAAAAGAAATCAAGTTCCAAAATGGAGAGAAAGCTGAAACTCATAGACCTTTTAGAAATTTTACTTCAAAACAAGGTGCTATGATGGAGAAATGAGGAATGTAACATTGAAATCTCACATGTGACTGGAGAAAAGCTGGAATTACAAAACTAGAAAGGGAAATAATGAAAAGTAAATATAAGGCTTAGATAAAGGTAAAGGTTCCCCTTGCACAGATGTGCTAGTTATTCCCAACTTTAGGGGGTGGTGATCATCTCTGTTACAAAGCCGAAGAGCCAGCGCTGTCCAAAGATGTCTCCATGGTCATGTGGCCGGCATGACTAAACGCCAAATTACCTTTCCACCAAAGGTGGTCCCTATTTTTCTACTTGCATTTTAACATGCTTTTGAACTGCTAGGTTGGCAGAAGCTGGTAACAGGAGCTTACCCCATTGGCGGCACTAGGGATTTGAACCAATGAACTGCTTATCTTTCAATTGACAAGCTCAGTGTCTTAGTCACTGAGCTACCATGTCCCTTCAAATACCATGAGGCAAAAAAGGAAAGATAATAGTTTTATTTAAGTGTTCAATCGGGAATACACTGTAGGAAATATGAGTAGGAACCTTTAGACCTTTGGGGTAAAAGAAGGTGCATTTTTAGGCCAAAAGAAATGAAGACTTCACTAGTTTGAAGAGATTAGTCTGGATCTGGAGGTGACAGTGCAAGAACAACAAAAAGATTTATCTACATTAATGAAATAAAGAAATGGGGAAATAGTGTTAAAAGTTTTAAAAGAATAGAATTAACCCCCCCTTGCCAAAAGCCTACTTCTTCTCAGCTAATTTTGTCAGCCTTTTATTATGAAAAAATTGACATAACAACAGCAAAATTGGTGCCCTTTCACCTTTTGATCCAGAACATCAGTCAACAATATGTAAATGAAGACTCAATCATCCCAGCCAAAAGTTTAAATCATGGTAACTGGACCAAAGTTTATTAAACTGATACGTTTCGTTATTCATCCAAGTAACTTCTTCAGTCAAAATGAAAATTTTTGGTTAGGTATAGAGTCAGAGAGTTGTCGGAATATACTAACTCTGCTGTAGTGATTGCAGGAGTTTCCCCAAAATGAAATGCAATATGTAAATGAAGACTCAATCATCCAGGCCAAAAGTATCTAAAAAGATTAAATTGTGGCAATGATTTAAATCATGGCATCAGTGAACAATGTTTGAATAGTTTCAGAATAGCCTGATCCTCTGAGAGTCTGAAGTAACGGCACTCCAGCACAAAGCCTTCCGAAAGTGTTAATTTCTTTTAATTTTTAGAGTTAGAAAAAAATGAAATTTAATAAAGTCTCACAAATAACCATACCATTGCTATTTAATTAACTTTATTTTAAATCAAATTTAGATTTTTACCTAATCCTTGTCATACCATAGAAAGGCAAAAAATGCTTGAAAAATGTGTTTTTGAACATGCATTTCATGGACTTCCCTTTGTTGTGACTTATTTTGTGAGAGAGGAATTCTTTATCCTGAAGAAATGGATGAATAAATTTCCATGATTTGCTAGTATGATGATCTCCATATCTAAGAGCCGCTTCTCCTTACCTCTGTCTGTCAGAAACTGAAATTATTTTCTGAAGTAGTTTTTCTTAATTTTCTTAATTTTATGTTATTTTATTAGGTTTTATTTATTTATCAATAAACCAAAGGTCTCCTTTCTTGCTTGATCATTTGCAATATCAGCACACTGAAGTCACTTTCATTTTTATGAATCTCTCTAACTTGGCAGAAAGAGAGAGAAAGCGACAGACTAAACTCTATATAGTTTTATGGAACTTCAATCTTCTTTGGACTTATAAGCTCATATGTATTCCTCATTATGGAAATTTCAGTCCACTAGAGCTTTGCAACTATCTGGAGACGTTGGCAAAACTGAATGTTCCCGAAGTCGTCAGAAGTGCCCACAATCACTGTAGAGTGAGATCGGCGGCATATAAAGTTAATGAAGATAAGTAAATATGTTTTTCCGTTTAGGAATAGCAACATTGTACAATGACCCTGGGCCGGTTCCCACATGTTGAACCCGCAAATGACCCAATTCCATTTTAGCTACATCTGTCACACTGTGTGAATGCAGCCATACAGTTGCCAATTACTACAAAATCTTTGTTGTTCCCTGCTTTATTTTTGCAATACAAACCTCTCTTCTCTCTTCTGCTTCTTCACATGGCAGCATAACCAAAGATTTCATTCTGGATTCTGATTTCAGTGTGAGAAAAAGGACTACACTCTTGGTGGCTGGCATTGACATCACCTTCAATTCAGTAAAGGTCCCAGAAGTTTCCTCAAGCCACAGAGATTAAAATGAAAGACAGTCAGATCCCAAAAGGAGTCACAGTCTGGCCTGGCAGGATAAGAGTTTGGGGGCAGGAAGAACTCCCCTTTCCCAAAGCCCCTCTGGATCTCCCCCAAATTCCTCCCCTTGCAGCGCTTGAGATGAATAGGAGAGAGAAGAGGGATTTCCCCAAGTATCTTCACCATCAGTTGGTCCTTGGACCTCAAAGCCCTTGTTTCCCTCCCTTCCTCCTCCCCATACAGACCCCAGTGGGGCCACTCACCTGCGAGGGGGCTGCTAAATGGCCTGGTTCCTCCCTGCATTGGAGAGACAGACACAAAGAGAGGACAGAATGGGAATGGGAGTAGAAATGCTTTGTCCTGATCCTCTCTTTACCATTAAACCTCTGCAGCTTCATTAATCTCTCAGAGGAGACCAGCCTATTTATTTATTTTATTATTAAACTTCTATGCCATCCATCTGTTCAAGATGATTCTAGGAAGCTTACAATAAAATGCCATGTAAAACATTTAAAACAATAAATTAAAAACCA